GAGTAATCTGCTAATAATTGCCATACCTCCTCAACCAATTGCAATGGAACATTAGTCTGACATTTGTGTTGAGGCCCCCACTTGGCACCACATTTGAAACAGAGACCTCTAGCCTTGCGATAAGACATAAGAGATGCCAACTTCTCATCCATTGGTGGTTTGGAACCAGCAGAATGAGTTGTAGGTACAGTAAAAGTAGACTGAGGAACTGACTTGACAGTAGAGCCAGTTGAAGAATAAGACTATCTACTAGAACTCTTGCTCTGCACACTGGGAGAATCAAGCTTCTTATAAGGCAATGAAGAATTTCCCAGCAGCAATTCCTCCTGCAAAAAGGCGAGAGAACTAGTAGTGTCTAGATCTTTGGGCCTTATTTAATATCATCAGATAAGCCATCGATGAATTTGTTGGTAAGAAACGCATGATTGACAAGGGGATCATGTGCTAGCAACTGGTGCATCAGTTCATCAAACAAGGTAATATACTCAGGAACAAATGCAGTTTGTTTGACATGGAAAAACTGGCGAATGAAATGATTGAACTGATCTCTATCAAAACGGGCAACTACATGCTCACAGAGAGTTTCCCAAGGTAACTGTCTAAGGTTAATTTCAATGGTTTGCATCCAGAAAGCAGCAGTGCCAGTGAAATTGATTGTTGCTAGCTTCACCCAATTGTCAAGAGGAATATTATAGAGATCAAAATAGGAATCACAATGTTTAATCCATAATTTGGGGTTTGTTCCATCAAACTTTGGGGAATTCAATTTGAGGCACAGCATGGGGAAAATTGAAATGAGCAGGACATGTATTGCAAGAGTGATGAATGCATCCAGTATGAGGGGTGGGAGATCCAGTTGGCTCACCTTTGACCGGAGGTGGTTCGAGGGTGCCATCACCCTAGAACCAGACCATCGGTGACAGTTGTGTACGCCGCGGCCTAACTGCCGGTGCACCGCCTGCAAATAGGACGGACCCAGAGGAGCGGATCCCAGCGACTTAATGGAGATGGTGTTAGAGGAGTCTAAGGGTGTACTGGGCCTTAGCCCATTAGGGTTAATTAGTCGCTTGCTTAGGGGCCAAGTCAGACCTCTCTATATAATGAGAGTAGATGTATCAATCTAAAATCAAGAAAGAGATTAGAAGAAAATCCCTTTGGCCGGCCTCCCCCAGCGCCCTGGCAGCCCTAGCCGCCGCCGCCGCCGTGAACAGTACCCGCGGACACTGTAGCTCCACGGCACTGTAGCACGCCCTCTCATCTCCATCCCAACTGGCCACATAACAATCTGCTATTAGCGTTCTCGGTTCCGATGTCGACCTCGCTGGCCACCTCCACCACGCCGCCGCCGGCCACCAACGCCTCCGCGCAGCTGCCTGTCTCGCAGACGTCTCAGCCGGTTCTGCCCGCAGGAACCCTGCCGCTTGTTCCCGAGACCTCGCTGCCGATGGCCGCGGGGGCGTCTCCCTCCGCCATGGGTGTCATGTCGAACGCAGAATTGACGGTCGCGGTGCTTGACCTTGGCAAGATGGTGGCCGGTATTCATTCGTTTCTTTTGGGACCGCAAGGACCGCAGGTCCTGCATGCGAGTTCGGCGCCCGGCCCTTTCCCGCAGCCGGTCAGCTGGCCGCCGCAACCGTCCAATGGACTCTTGACCGCCGAGGAGAGCAGCAGTCCCGCGCTGCTTTCCACCTCTCCTTCACTGATCCCGTCGTTCACCACCCCCAGCCCCATGCCGCCACAGCAGGACAGCGATGGCGTCTTCTACGGGGGCGTGGATGGCATCCAGGCATCGGCGGCGCAGCTGCAGGCGGTGGCGCGTGGCCTCCTAGCGCGCCGGCGGCTGCAGAAGATGCGCTCACCTATGCACGAGGCGACCTTGGCGGCGGTCGACCTCAGCATAGGGGAGCGTAACCTAGCATGGTCAGTCGACCTCGCCTGGTCGGACGGCCACTAGCAACCACGCCGACCTGCTGTTGTCTTCAGGCGTAAGCATGGTGTTTTTTTTCCGTGGGCGGCGAACTCCAACTCTGCGGCACCGGTGATATGGGAGCAGCTTTCCTCCTTGTCACCGACGGGGACGCACTGCCTAGCCCCATCGCATTCCGCCACCGTCCACCACGAGCACGTCTCTGCTGGTTACTGTTGCCACTAATTCTAGGTGGCCATACCCGTGCACCCCTCTCGTTCCGATGGTCTCCATGGGATCTAGGTGGCTACACATGTGCTGGTCCAGCAAGCGGAGGGTGCCCGTTGTATCTTCAGGAGTAAAAAATAAAGAGTCGTAGTCTTCTTCAGGTCAATAAAATAAGTCGAGATATAAAAGGCTTATTTTTAGGTGTTAGGTTTGTGTCTAGTGGAGGCATCGTTAGTGTCATCGTTAGATTGCAGCTCGAGGACGAGCTACATGTCCAGGTGGGGTGTAGTGTTAGAGGAGTCAAGGGCCTATTGGGCCTTAGCCCATTAGAGTTAATTAGTCGCTTGCTTAGGGGCCAAGTCAGACCTCTCTATATAATGAGAGGAGATGTATCAATTTAGAATCAAGGAAGAGATTAGAAGGAAATCCCTTCTCTCTTGCCGGCCGTGAGCGAAGCCCCGCGGCCGGCCTCCCCCAGCGCCCTTGCAGCCCTAGCCGCCGCCGCTGTGAACAGTACCCGCAGACACTGTAGATCCACGGCACTGTAGCACGCCCTCTCATCTCCATCCCAACTGGCCACATAACAGATGGATCCTTCGCCAAGCGCGGGTTGCAGCTTCGGTGTAGCGGATTTGAGTGCGTCGACTTGAACATGAAGAGAATCCAAGCCAAAACTCAGATCCGCCACCTTGGAATCAACGTAAGGACGGCAACGCTCGAAATCATCCTTGGCAGCTCGAAGGTCATCGATGGAGACCTGGACGTCATTGATGCGGCGATTGCTTTCATTGATGCCTTTGGTTTGCTCATCAAGCTTGCCGATGATGAGGGCGAGTTGATCTTCAACCTTCATGGTGACTTGGAGGCGGGTACAGTATTCGTGAGCCAGAACTTCAATTCAACGTGTGACTGCCGACCCAACAGACCTCGGATCGGACCTACGAACTTGCGAAATCAACACCGAAGTGGATCTAGGAGTTCTGCCGACGGGGATTACAGTTGTGACCAAGGCAACAACAGCGCCAAATCGAAGCACGGCGCGGATGGATCGAGCGAGAAAACCGATACCAATTGTAACAACACGGATTATGCTGCTACGGATAGTGTCTGGATTACGATATCAGGTACCAACAGTGTGCTTACAAGTAACGATAAATGGAATCGGACACCGCCGGTGAACTCGAGCCATAGCTCGCCACCATCAAAGCCGGCGTGTTCTAAAATGAGTTCTACTTGGCTACTTCTCCCCCTCTTAAACGATGTATGTTACAACTGTCTAGCAGCAATAGTCCAGACGCAGCTGGCAATGTTGGGCTTGGCCTACTTCTTCTAGCTTGGGCCACTGTACTTCGGATTGGGCTTCCTAGACCTTTTGCTCTTCTTGCTTCCTGGGCCGTCTGGCGTCTTACGCACCATGATAGATTTGGCTTGCCCTGGAGTCCCAGTTCCTTGGTAATTGAGAGACCCACGCCATCTACCTTGATGTCACCTTCCAAAACTTTGTCCAAGGTGACCTCTCGATCACCAACTATTGCAGGAAGCTCAAGATCACGGCTGATGCTCTCGGTGCCTTGGGCGAATACGTCACCAATAGCAACCTCGTCCTCAACGTCATCCGCGGCCTCAATGAAAAGTTCGCTTCCCTGGGCCACTCAACCCCTTCTCCATGCCAAAAGCTACTACTTCCCTCCTCGCCGCCCCGTCCATGACGATTTGGCATTGCCGACTTTGACATCTCATGAGGCTTTGGCTAAGCTTTTGCTCCTGTCCAGTCCCAAGGAAGATGTCTCTTTAGTGTGTCATGCTTGTCAACTCGGTCGTCATGTTCATTTACCTTTTCTTGTATCCATTTCGCGTGCATCACACACCTTTGACCTCATACATTGTGATCTTTTGGACACCTCTTGTCCCTAGTGTTTCAGGATATAAATTTTACTTGGTGGAACACCACTATGGAAGAACACGCAATCACTGCCGAAGCATCACTATCGATTCGGCTGGAGCCGGCAGTGACTATTTATCATTGCCAGGTGGTAAGCCTACGATCCAAAAAATTGGAGGGAAGCTAATCACCTGGCAATGATGACACCTATCACTGCCGGCTAAAACCACCATTCGGTAGTGATATATCAGTGTCGGTTCAAGGTACAAACCGACAATGATAGCTAAGATATCACTGCTGGCTCATGCTATGACCCAGTAGCGATATATCCCTGTTAGGTCAAACCACTACCCGATAGTGACATTTTGCATATCACTACCTGTTTTTGTTCTGGCCCGTGAATATTCTTTCCCGTTGCTTGATCCACCTAACTATCACAACATTGATTCTCCCTAGTTGATCCCTCTTTAATCCTGGTTGGAGCCACCAACCGAGGCTAAAAGTCTCTAAAATTTTGCAAAAGCTTGCTGCGCTAGCCATTGGGCCGGTGATTTTAGTCCCGGGTGGTGGCTCCCATTAGTCCGTGGCCCAACTATTACCGGGACTAAAGGTAAAAACCAAAGGTCTGTACTATACTAGTGTACTATTCTATAGCTCTTTTGTTTCTTAATAATTAATTGATAGTTAATAATGTTGAGTAGGGGCAGGGCCCCCTGGTGCTTAAAAAGGAAAAATATAGAACGAAACTAGGGGAAGAAAGCATATATATATATATATATATATATATATATATATATATATATATATATATATATATATATATATATATATATCCTGGACCGCGGCAGGGTGGGGCATGTGAAGGAAAGCAGGTAAACTTTACATGGTATTGATCGGGCCGAGTCGAGGCATATATTGTATATTGTATATAATAAAAGACGAGCGAGAGAGGCGCAAATTAAAACAAAAATGTCCACTAAATAACTAAGAGAACTGCTGCGAGGTCGCGAACGTTTGGCCGAACCCCCAGCCGGCGGGCGCGACGTTGAGGAAGGTCTTGGTCTGGCCGTCGCTGCTGGTGACCTGGAACGACAGGCTCTGCCCGTTGAGGTAGGCGTTGGACTGCCAGTTGACGCCCCAGTTCCTGGACATGGCCATCCACCCGGTCCGCGATCCCTTGATCGACGCCGACTGCATGGAGCCGCAGCCGCCGACGTTGGAGATGAGCACCAGCTCGAAGTAGTCGCGCCCGTTGATGGTGAACCTCACCCCGCCTTGCTTCACACACGGCACCCTACACAATGTCGTCGGAGTCCCTTCAGATCATGCGAAGGACTTGTACGTGAAATATATAAAGCGGCCCGTGGATTGACCAGCAGGAGAGAGCAACCTTTGGTAGTTGACGGGCACGATGCCGCCGCGGTAGATGCCGATCTTGAGCCATGCGGGCTCGGTCATGTCGAAGTGCTGCCGTGGCGGGTTGCACCAGCCGCCATCGTCGTTGGGCAGCGCGTAGTTGGGAGGGCACAGGTTGGTGGCCGTGATGGTCACGGACGTGCCGCGGATGCAGAACCGCGGGTCCGCCTGGTAGTCGCACCAGATCCGGTAGCACTGCCCGCACGAGGCGCCGTCGTTGAACAGCGCCGTGCTCAGCGCCGCCGTGTTCGTGCCGTACCCCGTCGAGTACAGGTTCCCGTACCCACAAGCCCCACCTGCAGGATGTATGTGCATCAGCTATAGCTAGTTTTGGACTGTTGTTATCGGCGTCAGGATCGATCTTCTTACCCATCGTTCCTGAAGCGTCGCTACCGCCATAGAAAGTGGCGAACGCCTTGTTCATGCCGGACGCCGAGAAGCACGCGGCTTCTTTCCAGAGGAGGCATGCCGTCGCGAGCAACACGAGAACGCGAGCGACTGGTGAGCCAGTTGCCTTCATTGTTGTTATTGTCAGCGAGCGAGCGAGTTAGGAGACGAACCACCACTAATGGCCAAACGTCTGAGCGGGCTGTGTCATTTAAATAGGAACCGGAGCTGATGAGAGGACGCTGCCAATCGTCCTTTCTGGACTGGATCAGATCAGGCCATGTACGCATGCATGCACGCGGTGATCGTCACCCAGTGGCCGGCAGAGGCCGTGCATGCATGTGGGCGCGCATGCTGCTATTCGGGAGCTGACGCTGACACGAGCTGCATGCATTATTGGCCTGATGGATCCATGCATCGGCCGCATGGGAGCGAGGATTCGGCCGGGCAAGGCCTCGAGACCCCATGTTCGCGATCAATAAACTGTTGGCGGTGTCTCTGACGTCTGTCGTCGGGTCCCGACGCCAGATGTTGCAACACCCATGTGTCGGCGCGCCGCTAGTACAGTGTAGATCTGGGCCTCCTGCGTTTCTCTCCCTGTGCACAGTGAACCTGGTTACTGGTTTTGTCGGTGCTCACGCTAAAAGCACTTTTTTGGAATGTAACAGCGTGTTGAGGCCGATAATTGGCCGGCCGGTGTGCACTGTCAAAGCTGTTCTCGAACAGCAGCCTTGCTTCGCGGACGACCTGTGCAGGTCGTCGGTGCCATTCACTACTGGTACTCAAAATCTCCAATCCAGGGAATCGCGCGTAGGTCGCAATGATTTTTTTTTTCTATGCTACTCCAATCACAGATATTTCACAGATATAATAAAGTCATCTAAGTTCTCCTAAGTTAAATCTTTTTAACTTTGGATTAGCAATATATCTATTAAATGGTGGTGTCTTCAATGAAAAACATTTATATATTATGAAAATATTTTTCGTAATAATGAATCTTATACCGGCAAATATTATTGTGTTATCAATGCAATTTATATAGAAGTAGTTTTTTTTGGTCTATTATCATATTATTAGGAGTCATCCGCCACGGCCGCTCCTCTGTTCTTCGCTACCACCTTTGCTGCCATCTAGGCCCCTATCTTTCTTCTCCTTCTCCAGAAGGTCTATCCCATTGCCAGTGCTAAGGAGAGAAGACTCATCTCTCTTTCACAACAATTTTTAAATCAAGTTTAGTTATGGTTTAGCCTAAATATAAATAAATCTATCGACGAAATGAGATGATTTTCGGTTGATGTTGTACCTGCGATAACTTTGGTGATTATCACGACGAGGTGGACGTTGCAGTCGTTGACTTCATCGGTAGAAGGACAATTTGTGGCCATTATCCGCGAGGGGAGATATTCTTCTTGGCACTACCCACAAGGAAAGTAATAACTTCGCGTCATCGATCTCATCGTAGATGGTCGCGAAGAGGATATCAAGCATACATAACGAATCAAGAGTGGGATGGGATAGATATATATATGCATCCTATGCTATACTGATGATGCAACTACCAATGTTCTTTTATCATTTCAAATGTGTTTTGGACTGGTTGCAGAATGTCCAATGTTTTAGGGTTGATTGGTTAAAACTGGTTGACTTAGGACAATCCAAATTGTATGGACTTTACATTTATGAGGCATGCAAGTACATCTAGTATGGTCATGAAAAAGGTAGCATCTGCCGTGCCCATATTTTGTAAAGGCGTTTCTATAGATTCCCTCTATAGTAAAATGAACAAAGAATATCTCAAGAAAAAAAATCATTTTTTAGTTGTGAAATAAACACTGTGCCAGCCTTTAGCCCAGATTGGCATACCTAATCTTCTGTGGTGTGGGGCTCAGACGACAAGGCGAGCATGGATAATCTTTATTTTTATAAGTGATGGGGCTTAGAGAGCAACTCCAGCGTAGTTCTAAAGTCAGGGTTCCAAATTTTCATTATTAGACCCTTGTTTCGATGCAGTTGGATTCGTATTAATTCACATGCGTCGGGGTAGATTGGAGTGAAACTTGAACTAAATTACACCCCAACCCACCCTAACACATGTGGATTGAGGTGAATCCGACAAACTCCAAACAAGGCCTTAAGGGTTCCACTATCTTTAAGGGTTTGGTTTATTCTTTCATCTACTCTAGCGGAGCTCTTAAATCAGAACTCTCAAATTCATCCTAACAAATAATGATACACGAGACTCACTCACCATTCCCTCTTCTTCCTTATTTCCAGAGTGGATTTTTTTTTAATTTTCAGATGCAGACAATAAGCCAACCGCGTCTAATACAATCGTCTCGGTAAATCGATTAACAAAGACGAGCAACTTAAGATGCCCGTCTACTCACATAACACCTTCACACCACTGCAATACACATTTATTTGTGAGTATATATAGTATATTGCCTTTATCAGTACCACATAAAACATTTACAAAAGACGGTTGAAATGGTTTTGCAAAGGCGGGCCAGACGCCCATCTCCATCACAAGGTCACTGTATCACTTAGATGTATAAATTGACAAACTTTGTTTATCAATTATAATTGATGGTTCCGGGGAGAGGAGTATGATTAGTTAGAAGCCTTATTAGTCTCCAATTTGAGCATCTCATAGCCACACTTCCGGAGGAAACTGTATGTGCATGCCTAGTCGAATGCTTAGCCCATGCCCATCACAATATCCATTTAGTCTGTTTGAAATTTTGTCCAGTTCAGTAGTTCAAATGTTAGACAGCACAAAGAATTTTGTTATTGTATCATGTTTTTTGGGTTAAACTTAATTACTACATTGCATTGTTCTTTGTTTCTTAGGTTTTATGCATTTATTGAGTTTCTAAGGCACATTCTATTTTTTAAAGAAAATAGTCAGCCCAACACATTGAAAGTATAATCTTGGTGAAACTGTTGTTTGCCAATGTTTGTCCAAAGAGTTCTCAAGATTTTTTGTTGTTTGAATTTTTCTGGAGGATTGCAGGTTTGCATAATCTTCCCTTGTAAAAACTCATTTAGTATTTTGTTGTTGATTTTTTGTTGTTAATATAATTTGCACCTGTCAAAGGATTTTTGGGAATCAAGTATGCAGGAATTCATCAATTTTTTATTGTAAATGTTCCGTATGTTTGTTGACATGTAGAATCTAATTTCCATGTCTTGCTGTTTTTCATGCAGAAGAGTGACCTCTATATATGTAGGGGGAGAGATCATTGCTTCTGTTGCAGATCAAAGGGCTCACCTTATCAGTGATCTGGTTGTCGCTTACGTCTACATCCTTGCTTCTAAATTTTGAATCTCCAATGTCCTCTAGTTGTTGTCCATCTTCCATGTTGTTTATTTCGTTTAGGGTTTGCTTGCCTCAGAGGTTGTCTTCTGATTTTTATGACGTGCAGCCATCCTATCGGAGCTGCTGATGTTTTTCTTTCAGGGGCCTTTTCTATCCTTCTTATGTGGGCTTTATTTTTGGTTTGGGCCTTTTTTATGTTTGTTCTTTTTTTAATTGGTCATCTGTTATGTTTTATAGGCCTTGGCTCTTTTTACTTTTTTTTTCTCTTTTTACAACCGTTGCCAGCTCCTCTATTTGGGATGGGGGTGGTTCTCTCTCTCTCAGTGGCGGAGCTAGGCATACCCTGCAATTCCAGCGTGTGAGCATGTATACATACGTATTTCGGATTAAAAAAAAGAAAAACAACACTTACCTAACTAAGTGAACGTGGAGAGGCAGCCCGTGAACCAGCGTCAGAGCAAGGCTCACGCGGCCCATGGGGCCAGCGACGGGAGATGGGACGGCTGTTAAGCTTGCATTTAGCCTTGGTATTGCATGAGCACAACATCACTGATCATTCATGAGCATGAGTATCTCAAATATTATCTCTATGTTTGCTTATGTTGCATGTGTTGTCACTAAAATGCTTTACATATACTAGGGTTTACATGTAACCAATGTATAAAATGTTTGTGAAACCTTAGGAGTACCTTTAACATGTTTAGAATATCACATGGAACAACTTTGGTATTCATGATTAAGGCTAGTTTGGTCTCTAAGTCATGGTTATAGTGTAGGCTTTCATTTTCAAGTTGTATGTTTGACCTAAGTTGAACTATAGCATAGAGTGTTTGTATGGCAGTGCACCTTTAAGCAAAGTTGTAGTACTTAAGTAGATCAACAACTTTTATTTTTGGGTCAAGGTCTAATTTGGTGCATAGCATGCTAAAAAACAGCTCCCAAGTAGCAAGAAAATACTGCTTTGGATTTGAAAATTGTCTTAAGTCAAAAACGAGGATTTCAGTTTGAAGTACAACACTTTAGGGCATTGTAGATCTTAAACTATTGAGAATTTGGGAAATCTTTCTAATGCAAATCTGTAGATCACACGTAGCTCTACAACTTTCACTAATATGGTTTTCACTAACTTGCCATGGATTAGGAGTAACGATTGCTCAATGTTGCTCTGCCAGTCGCATTCATTTGGGCATGATGCCGAACTGAGCCGGTGTAAGTGGCAGACCGGGGGTAGGCCAGGCGCGCCGCGTGGCTGCCGTACGCCTCGCGCTAGAGCAGCGGGTTAAGGCGCGCAACCCCAGTGCTCGCCTCACTTCACTCTCGCACTTCACCCTCTCTCGCGCATGCTAGGATAGAGCGAAGCGCCGCACTGCCGTCGCCATTACCGAGCACCGCCGCGTTCTCTCACGCTCCACCACCGCACCTTCGGCCACCACCGCACACCCACCGCTCTGCCTTTGTCTTCTCCACCTTTGTGACCCACTCGCACCAGCATTCGTGCTGTGGTAAGCCTCGCGCCGTGTTCGCCATTGCCGCGACCGTCACCGGAGCGCCTCCATGCTCGCGCTCACCGTGACCATGCTCCACCGAGCCATCTCGCTCGCTCCTTTCTCGTGTTAAGGCTAGCCTAGAGTCGCGTCTAGCTCACGTCACTGACCGCTGGCCAATGCCGACACACTGGCGCCAGAACGTGGCTTTCCGCCGTCGTGCTGTCGCCGCCATGGCACCATGCGCGTGGTCAAGCTCACCAGTGCCACCCCCGTACCCTAACCAACATCCGTTAGCTTTGCTAGGTCACCACGTAGATGTAGCAAGCC